TGATCAACTTGCTCAATAGCACCAGTTTGGTACTATTTGCACATATAGACGGTTTTATATTCTGTTTTTTACTTTTTACGAGCATTTTGGTTTTCCGTACGTTCAGATCAAAACCTGCTTCCTTACAGCTCTCAATGACACTGTCAAGTAGTGTGTTCAGATCTTCCTGAGTACAAACTAGGAGTCATAGGTTTGCTATTGTGTCGTGTACATATAGCAAATTATTGATAACTTCACTGTTCACAATTATTGCTTCTTGTTTTTCAAAAAGTGCAAGTGTAAAAGAGCATGGAAAAACCATCAGCATCATTAATTTCAGAAAAGCAATTGCCAATAAGATTTTTGAAAAAGGCACGTGGAATTAAGCATTCCAGATCCAGCTGAAACCGCTAAATCTCACAGTTTAGATGACATCAAATCTAGAGGACGATGTACAAGGTAGTATAAAATGAAGAGCGAGAAAAATGGCCGACCTTACGCTATCAAACAGACTAGCGTGTGAAATTGCACTGCAAAGGATGTGAACATAAATTTTTTGTTTTTTCGATACAATAATTGTACTGTACGCAAGTGATGATAGGCGTGACAAGTGACAGGAACTGTGTGACCATTTTTGACACAGCTATCAAATATTTATTTTTTACAATAAAATACTTATTTTATATTTTTGGTATATGTAGTACATTAAAATAAAGTATTCTTAAACCAATGCATCGGAAGAAAGAAATACTCATGGCTTAAAAACATAAGAGATTGGACAAATCTCAATGCTCATGCACTTTTTAGAGCCACACAAGATCGAGAGGAGTATTCCAGAATTGTCGCCAACGTCCACTAATTGGATAGGGCACCATAAGAAGATTCTTAACCCTTTCCAGTCAGATAATCCCATTTGGGATCATAGCTATGTTTTCTGCTTTAGCGGCAAAGGAAATCACTTATGTCGGTTTCGCGAACGGTATTGCGTTTCCTCACCTTCCTACTAGATGACGCTGCATTAATTTATTTGACAATTCTATCAGTAAGCGTTAGTCACACTTCAATGTAAAACATCGTAGTGAAACAACGATAATGGTCCTAAAGTTTTGAAAAAAATTTCACCTGGTCTGATTGAGAAGCAAAATGCATTTACCAAAGAAGGCCATGGAATTGAAATGTCATCAGTTATTGACATTTAATAAACAAAGCAGAATATTTTGGTTTGTGCTCTGCAAAATGTCTTATAAAATTAATAATTCGTCGAGGTTTTTATAATATGGTTGGGCGAATGTCGAAACGAGATATTGTTAATATTTATCGAGATCAAAACATAAGCAAATCAACAATTTATCGCACAATCAGAGAATGTGAAGAAGGATACCATGTGTTAACTTGCGTAAAAGTGGCCGACCGCGGATTTTGAACCATATAAGAGAGGCAAGACTGATTGAAGCAGCTAAAAACAAAATTGGGGTCTCACAGCGAAAAGTGGCCAGAAGATTTCATGTTGGAAGGACTACAGTATACAGGACCCTATCGAGTAACAATATTATCTACCGGAAAAGAAGGAAAGCTCCAAAATACACAGAGGATCAATTAGAGAGAATTCCGAGATGTTGCCGCTCGTTAAGGCGAGTATATTTCGTCAACAAGTTGATCGTGATGGACGATGAAAAATATTTTACTTTGTCCAACTCTGAGATGAAGGGTAACGATGGGTTTTACACGAACGATTACGAAAATGTACCTGATGAAATAAAATTCAAAAGTAAGAAAAAATTTGAGGACAAAATTTTGGTATGGTGTGCAATTTCTGAGGCTGGCTTTATCTCACAGCCTTACATTGGTGTTGTTCGAGGCGAAGCCCTAAAACCAAATATTTATATTCAAAGATGTCTCTCTAAATTGCTTCAGTTTGTGAACACCCATCATGCAAATGATCAAATAGTCTTTTGGATAGATCTTGCTTCATGTCATTAGGTGAGGATCACAAGGCACGGGTACGATACTAACAATATTACCTTTGTACCGAAAGCAGACAATCCCCCCAACCTACCTCAGGCTCGTCCAATTGAAGAGTTCTGGGCAATATTAAGTCGGAACCTCTATAATAACGGATGGAAAGCACAAAATCAGGAACAGTTAAGACGCCGCATATATACAAAAATTAGAGAAATTGACGTTGAGATCGTCCAAAGGATGATGCAACGTGTCAGGGAAATTATTAGGCAAATCGAAAATAATGGTCCCGTGTCTGTCATTTGAATTTTGATTTATAATAAGGATAGTTAAGTTAAATTGTTGAATAATTTAATAAAAATATAAGATTATTGTGGTCAGAGTTATATGCTTTTGAAATTTTCCCCAAAACTTTAGGACCATACATTAAGGTGAGTAATTGAACCAGTAATTGCACGAAAAAATTTATTTTGCTTGTAACATTGTTTTAATTTGATAATTTATATTATGGTTTGCTCATATTTACAAGATTGTTTATGTAAAAATTATAAATATCAGTGAATCCAAATGGAGTTATTGGGCCATTTTGGAGATCTCCAAATGGCATCATTGGGAAGTCGTGTCTTCTTACTAGATAAGGAAAAAACTTTGAAAGAAGAAATGATTGATTGAAGTATCTCAAATAGAAGAATTATTGGAAAATTGACTGAAGAATTATTGGAAAATATTGTTAAAGATAGCTTGAACACCCAAGTTGTAGAGAATATGGAAGAAAAAACTGTTGAAGAAATTACAGAAGAGCCACAGACGTCACGCCAAGAAAAAAAAGCATAGAAAAACCAACTTGGATAGACAACAATTTAATTGATACAAACAGCGAATACAGTGGTGATTTTTCGGTTGATAAAAATATTTATAGGCCTTTCCAATATTTTAAAATGTTTTGTGACAATAATATTATTCAAAATTTTGCTGAGTAGACAAACTTGTATTCTGTGCAAAAACACAGTAAAAATATTGATACAAATGCAACAGAGATAGAGCAGTTCTTAGGCATACATGTATTAAGTGGAATTGTTGGTGTTCCTTCGTATAGAATGTATGGGGCAGAAGAAACGCAATATAATACAATAGCTGATATCATGTCACGTAATCGTTTTGATAACCTGCGAGCATATTTTCACGTCAACAATAATTTGAAAGTCTCGTCTAGCAACAATGACAAATTATATAAAAAAAACCTTTCATTGAAAACGTTCGTCAAAATATGAATAAGATAGAACCTGAGGAATTCAACAGCATCAATGAGTTCATTATACCATTCAAAGGACATAGCAATCTAAAGCAATATATAAAAAATAAACCTCATAAATGAGGCATAAAAGTTTTTGCAAGAGCAGGACGCAGCGGCATATTATACGATTTTGAGATGTATGTGGGGAAAGGAACAGTCCAAGATAAATCAGGTCTTGGAATTAGTAGGGAAATAGTACTAAACTTGGTCAGAAATCTGCCAAACCATATGAATTTCAAGATTTTCACAGATAATTGGTTCACATCTTATAATCTACTTATTAGTCTGAAAGAACGGGCATCCTTGATGCAGGGACTGTAAAAAGTGGGAGGCTGGCAGGTTGTCTTTTTCAAAAGACAAAATTCTAATGGCAAAAGGTCGTGAATCCTCTGATGTAAAAATAGACAGTGAAAAAAATATTACTGCTCTTAAATTGTATGACAATAAGTCCGTCATATTAGCATTGAACTATATAGGAAAATATCCTCTTGATAAAGTGAAGAGATGGTGCAACAAGATCAAAGCCTATGTAGAAATCGAACGGTCAGCAATTGTCAAAGAATATATATCGATTGGGGGTGTGGATTTGCATGACATGCTTGTGGAACTATATAGAATCAAAATCAAACTAAAAATACTCTATTTGAGAATAATATTTAATCTTATTGATACATGTATAGTCAACTCCTGGTTGCTGTACCAAAGACACTGCAAACAGAAATAAGTGAAACACATCACCCTTCTCGAATTCAAATCTCAAGTTGGACATGCGTTACTGAAAGCTGGAAAGTCCGACACGAGAAAACGAAGACGCCATTCTTAAGAGAATGCACCAAATAAGAGACAAGTAAAGTAATGCATCCTTCACCAGTGCAAGATGCTTGATTTGATGGCGTAGGATACTGGCCACTACATGATCAAAATCGCACAAGGTACAAATTATGTATAAAGTCTTACTCTAGAATAAAATGTTCTAAGTGCAATGTTTTTTATGTTTAAACAATAATAAAAATTGTTTTTATAGTTTCTATGTACAAAATTAAATTGTTAATAGTATAAGTGCAATAATAAACGTATTTCCTATTATAGTCAATTTTTTACCAGACCACTATATCAAGTGTTATAAATGGATAATTCAGGTACCACCAATGCCAGATGATTCCAAATGGGATCAATTTTTTTTTGAGTTTAAAGATTCTAGGATGCAAAATTTTTACAAAAGTTATCAAAAATTACTTTTTTTTGTATCGTTTCCTATAACATACATTTTTTTCAACAAAATTATTGAAACAAAATAATTTGGACTGGAAAGGGTTAAAAAAAGTTGTTAGTCTCTGGCATGCAATTAAAATAAAAACCCTAGTAGTCAAAGTCTTTAACCAATTTCAAATTCTTCAGATTGAAAATAAAGGCCGTAAGCTATCATTTTATTAAAATCTATGTTAATTACCAAATTAAAAAATACATATATAATTCTGAATGACCAATTTGAGACAAACGGTACGCTTCACAACTTATTTAATTAAAGACTAAAAAGTGTTAGACGCATACCAAAACTAGCTCACTTGAGAAAAGCACGCTACCGAAACAGCTGTAATGATTATAAATAATACATTTGGCGGAACTGTTGAAAATATATAAATAAATAAGTTTTCAGTGTTTTAATTGTTTTATAAAATGAACTTCCATCAAGTAACGGTCGAATCCATCAGTTAATATTTTATACATTTATATAATATTCTATTGTTAGTATAGAAAAAAGTTGTACTTACATAGTTACCACTTTTGAGAGCCTTCTCGAGATTTCGATCCATGTCGTGATGATCTAAGGCCATGAAGAGGGTGTTGACTACGATGCAGAGAGTAATAAATAATTCAACGAAGGGATCAAAGACGATCAGAGCTACAAACTTCTGAAACACCAACCATGGTCCACAACAATCCCACACGCAAAAAATATCGATGACTCTCATAGAAAAGGCTAACAATCGTTCTTTGACTGTTGGTTCGTCTTCTTCATCATCATTTTGGGCTGAGAAATAATAAACAGAAACTATACGAAGGATTAGTATACGTGAAGTTGACACACTCTTTTTGGGAAAGAGGTTTTGTGCGTTACGGGATAGTGCTTTAGCCGTTCTTAACCGGTGGTTAAGTTGAACTCGTACTTGCAGTAAGCGTATGATTATAGAGATGGTTTTGTCTTTACACCATCTCTACGCTAAGTTATGAATGGCTAGTATATTTTCACGTTGAAAATTAACACAACGACATATTGGAAGAAACGGAGTTAAATTTTGTGAAATAAAATCTATTTCTAGTATTGTCTATGTATGTCTATATATGTCTAGTATGTAGTGCTCGCGTTAAAAGATTTCATAACATCTGAAATATTGGACATTACGGCTCTCGACGCACAATTTCCACTAATTGATCTTATTATTGTCAAGTGCCGGATTGGTTACAAATATTTTTATGTAGTTGTTGTTTATTTACCTGATAGGTTAAGTTTGGTAGACTTTGAATATTTTCTCGATTGCTTAGGGCAATTTTATTACTTAAATAATGACTGATTGGTGATTTAAATGGCAATAAGCAACAATTGAAAGTCAAAGTAAATTTATTGACGTTTCAATTTCCATTTCGGAAATCGTTCTGAAAATACAAACATTAGTTTTCAGAAATGTTTGTATTTTGAGAACGATTTTCGAAGTGTTAATTGAAACGTCAATAAATTTATTTTAACCTTTAATTGTGGCTTATTCCCATTTAAATAATAAAACTTTAGATTTAATGCAGAGTTTCAAAAAAAATTAACATACATCCTTGCGCAAAACTGCACAAATACATGGTTTAGGTCAGAGTTTCCCAAACTTATCTAAACCGCGACCCCTTTTTGCTAAAAAATTTGTTCGCGACCCCCCAATTTCCCCCCACTCATTTATTCAATATTATTTGAGAGAAATAGCGTGCCTAATTTACAATTATCTGATGGTTTCTCGAATTTAATTTTACTTTACTGTTTAAGTTTAAATCAAAAACAATTATTTTATTTTAATACAATTATTTTAATGATTGCGATCTGTCCCAATAGTAATTAGTAGTAGGTACTTCTGCCAGAATCGCATTTACAATAAAAATAAATAATAAGAAGTCGACTGCACATTGTACACCGCGACGTATTAGCTTGTGTCTACATCGCAAAACTCTTCCATGATAATCGCGAAAGCGCTCGCTACTAGATGGCCTCTGGAACGTTCTCGTAGCCTCGTTTTGGCTTTATATAAGCGGCGATGCGCAACGAAACCTCAGTTCGAATCCAAAAAGCCTATGGTGGCGAACGCGGTGTTGAGTAAGGAGTAAATATTTTACGACTTACGTATTCCCGTTTACGTATTTACGTCTACGTCTACGTCTACTTATCCATAATTATAAATTATGGATAAGTTTTTAAAAAGAAGTGCAGAACCATCTACGTCTGAAAGTGGCAGTAGCAGCAATAAAAAGAAAAACAGATTCTACATTGATGAATATCTTAAATATGGTTTTACCGTTATTTCCAATAAACCACAATGTGTTATTTGTGGACAAGTCTTGTCAAAAGAAAGCATGAAGCCATTAAAGTTACTTCGACATTTAAATAGCAAACATCCAGGTAAAAAAGACAAGCCCGTAGAATTCTTTGAAAGAAAGCTGAACGTCCTTTACAAACAGCAAGACAGTTTTCCCTTGGCAACCACTACTAATGAAAAAGCATTATTAGCAAGTTATAAAGTTGCTTATCGTGTTGCCAAAACTAGTAATCCGCACACAATTGCTGAAAATCTGATATTTCCATCAGCTGTTGAAATGGTACATATAATGTCTGGGAAAAGAGAGGCTGCAAAATTAAATACAATACCTCTTTCAAATAATACTATCCGAAGAAGAATTAGTAATATGGCAGAAGATATTCAAGCGCAAGTTGTGGAAAATCTTAATAAATGCACGTATTTCTCTCTTCAAATGGACGAGTGTACAGATATATCTAACTGTGCCCAATTCATTACGTTTGTTAGATATGATACAAATAATGGCATTCAAGAAGATGTTTTATTTTGTTCCCCATTGGAGACCAATACCACTGGAAAATGTTTATTTGACACTTTTGTGAAACGTACAAGTAAATGTGATATTGACTGGGGTAAATGTATTGCTATTTGCACAGATGGCGCTAAAGCTATGACAGGACATAAATCTGGTCTTGTCTTCAAATTTCAAGAAATATAATTCGAGGTACCTTCGTTTACATATCACCCAACCACAAACACACAACACAACAATTATCATCCTCCAGGTCATAGCCTGGACCATTTCAGATCTGACATTCAAAAAACTTACACATCGACTGACATTCAAAACACTGACACGACATACAACACACAAATTCCTAACTACACACAACAAAGACACTACACACATTAAAATACACATCAAAACTCATCATTCATAGTCATTCCATAAATCACAGAGTATTACAACCAACTACAAAATTTTCTTAGACATCTTAAACGCAGGCAGCTTTTTAAAATATGACATCAAACAAATGACACAATACACAAACATTTTTACGTCACAATACCCTCAAAAGATCTCAACTTAGAACTCATACAAATACAGTAGTCGAGTTATTAATAGTCGAGTATAACCAGTCGGTATGCTTACACTCAACCCAATTGTTCCGAGTGTCCATTAATATAGAGGGAACAAATTCAAACAACTGAGGAACTCAGGGAAGCAGCGGCGAGTATTTCGATTACTACATAAACTAAATTACGATTACTAGAACGAAGAGTCCCTTGTATCACTCGATGCAACACACTTACACGATATACAATACATGATAAACTACATCTCTAACCAAATTCTGCAGTCAAACCCCACTAATCCTAATCGTTCCGGATATGTTAGAAGACGAAAACAATTTCTTTGCAGTCTACGTGAACAAGTTGAATAAGATAGCCTACCTTTACACAACGAATCCCATTAATACCAAACCTCTGCAGAAAAAACTCAAAGTTTTACCCGGAACCAAATATCTAACCATCACAAACAGATCGAACCAAAAATTACCCATCCCACCTCACCGTCCAGTCCCAGAAAGCATCACATAAACAAATCTAAACGCACGCATTCCTTAATAATTCCACAATCAACGCAGATTCAACCGATTATTTATTTAAAACTCAAAATATACCCATCTATCAAAATTCAAGTCACTTACAGTTAACTCTCCTTACAAATCCGTCACACTTACAACCAAATCCAAAATCAACACATCACCTCGTATACCTTTTATCCCATATTACAGTACATTAACATTACAGGTACACACAACATGAACCTGCGATAGAAACAATACCTATTGAACCTTTACCCCCAACCTTACAATAAAAAAACACAAAACGAAATACATACAACTCAATCTACACAACAATCAACTCAAACAATCGATCAAAACCATCCCATACAACCATCACATACAAGCAACAAAAAAACATAAGACAACTCAACAAGACAACACAACCCAAGCAAATACCTTATAGAACACATCCCAGCAAACATTTGCCAACAAAACACTTCTAAACAATATCTTAAAATCAAACGACTTCTTTCCAATAACATAGCCCACTTAAAAGTCTATTCATTAGACAAAACAGCACCCCTCAACACATTTTAACCCCTAAATATCCACGAATTCCAGACAAAACTAAGAAACAATATCGTGATCATCACTATTGGCTCCATAAATTTCAATAACACTCCATAAAAGTCACAACCAAAATCCAATCAAACCTCCATCTCCTCATGACAGGCGTTAATAAAAATTTTTCACGAAAAAACATTGAAGACCATCAACCATAAGGCCACTTCCCTAACATTAAATTGTCAGAATAATTGTCCGCTAAAATAACATCCCTATACACTTTGTTCAAGTCTTCGAGAACTCAGAACAAAAATTCTCAGAAGCACTCAAAACACTGAAGATTATACGTTGTGAGATCCCTGGATCGAATACCGTCATCCCCCTGCGCTTAAAATAGTGTTCTAGATGCCGCCAAAGCGAAAGTCACAACACAGAATACCAACAAAGAGCCACCATCTCCCCAAACTGCGGACAAAATCACAAATCATATAAATGGCAGATGCACCATTCGGTTCAAACTATTGTAGCACATACTCGGCATATTCACACAAATGTCCCGCCAGAAAAAGTGCTCCCACAACATAGAAACACAAATACAGTTATTACCCTAGACACATTTCCTCATATGAACTCGATAAAATCATTTCTATGATATTTTTCTACGTCTTACCTGAAAAAACTCCTACCAATATCTCTAACGAGATCTTCTGAAATATGTACGGATACGCATTAATAGTATCAACCTTCAACTTTTCTATAAGTCAAAGATTTATACAAACCAGATTTTAATCCCGTTACATCACACCTAAGCTCTAGCTCCTAGAATGCACCCACTAGCCATTGACAAAACTACGTAACTCCTTCATAGTCGATTTAATTTACACAAAGACATGGGAAGATTGGTTTTCTGTGGTTTTCCAAACTCATTGCACAACAATATCTGTAACAAGGTGAGGAACTAGCCACAGCTAACCTTAACGGGATATACTAAATAAAGTACAATCAATTCTGAAAGGAATCGTTCAATTTTTGGATGCATCTGGTATTTTTATCAGCGGGCCACCTCAACTAGTTTATGACGAAGTTGTCCACCGAACGTCGACCCGATCGACGTTAAGCTCCATCAAACTCCCACCTCAACTCCTATGCCGGTCTTGTCATTAACAGAAAATCGTCCCAAACATACAGAAAAACTCCAAGAAGAGAAATTTAGCCTAAAACAAGGCTTCACTACCCCTATCTTTCTTCTTCTTCTTCAGCTTTTTTTATTTCCAGGGGTCGCTGTTCCTTACTCTTCGTCGCCACTCATTTCTGTCTACCGGTTCTTCTTCACCTAAATCTTTCTCTCTCAAGTGTTCTACACCACA